GCTCCCTCAAACTGTACACCACACACCATCCCTCCGGCACAGTTCCTCCACACCGTCCCTCCCGCACAGTCCCTCCCGCACAGTCCCTCCACACCGTTCCTCCCGCACAGTCCCTCCACACTGTTCCTCCCGCACCGTCCCTCCGGCACAGTGTCCCCACACCGATCTCCCCCCTCCCAACACAACCCCCACCTCCCCCACATTTGCACTCTCAGCTTCAGACAATGATTAGAGAAGCCACTCTCTGGTTACAGTTCCAACAGCTCAGGTCCCAGACAATCAATGGAGACACAGTTGGGGGAGAAGGGTATGGCACAGAGCGTGGTGTTACAGGAAGCAGACAGAATGAGTAGGTCACAAACAGTCAGTGGTTACAGAGAAGCGACCGTCTGCTCCATCGCAGTCAGAACAGGTTCCTACCTCTGTAGTGGAGGTTGCACTGCCTGGCGCCCTAGAGTCTCCACGATCAGCCCAATCGCTTTATGCACCTCGTTCAGGCCGACGTAGCGTACCACTTCCTCCAGGTAAGCCAGGGTAAAGGGCTGGTTCACCATCCGCCACTGCTGCATGGGCAGCTGGCCTGTCAGACACAACGCAGCCATCGTCAGAAACAAGATACCATGCCCCCCTCCGGGTCAGAGACACACACTCCCACACTCCCACCACCTCCCAACCACCACCCCGCTCCCCCCCACACCCCCGCATCAGATACAACACGCTCCCCTCCCGTCAGAGTCACACACACACCACCCACTTCTCCCCCCCCCCCCCTCCCCACATCAGATACAACACGCTCCCCCACTCCCGTCAGAGAGACACACACACTCACCAACAACTCCCCCACCCCCGCATCAGATACAACACGCTCCCCCTCCTGTCAGAAACGACACAGCCCTGTACACAACACACAGGGCAGCGTTATAGACTGTGGCAAACAAAACATTTGACACACTGGGGCTCATTCCTGGAGCAAACAGAATTGAAAATCTACAACATTATAATCAACCTGTGAAAACCTCAGTTAGACCACAGGGGCCAGTGTACACAGAATCCAACCACCTCTATAATCAAAAGGAGATAATTGCATGACAGGAGGTGCTGAGAACTTCCCAGGATAAATCCAGCTCAGACAGTTCACCCTATTGGTAATGATTGGGGTTCATTATTGATGGGGGAATATGGTAAAAGAGGATTTGAATGAGGTCTGCTACGTTATGAAAGCTTTCAATCAGATGGAGATGATCCTTTCTGCATGGTTGGGATGGGTGATGTGGGGGTTTTGGGGTAGCAGGTAAGGACAGAACCAGGGGCATAGATATCAGACAATTCCATTTGAGAGAGATTCTTCACCCAGAGAGCAAAAAGAATGTGGGTAGGGGGGGGCCTGCTCCCGTGGAGAGTGGATGAGGTGAACAGCAGAGATGCATTGAGGAGGGAAGCTACATAAAGACACAAAGAGGATAGGGTTAGAAGGAGGGGATGATGGCTGGGAAGAGATTAAGGGAGGTGTTGGAGGGCACTTTTGTGGAGCAGCAACACGAGAGTGGAGCTGAGGGGCCGAATGGCCTGTTTCTGCATTGGACATTCTGATAAACCATCCCTCTGCATAATAGGTAACATTATCAAGCGTCTGATCAGGTAGAGAGGGAGAAACTGTTCCAAATAGCAGGGGGTTCAGCAAACAGACAGACACAGATTGAAGAGGATTGGCAAGAGCTTGTGTTGAAACATTTGTCATAATGCATGGAGCTGTGGTGATTTGGGGACGGGCTAAGTGAGAGGGCAGTGGAAGGAGATTCTATAGTAACTACTCTGAAACAAATAGATAAATTCTTGAAAGTTGGAAAAAGGAGGGGGACAGTAGGTATTAAGTAGGGAGATAGGAGGGGGGCGTTGGATGGCCATATGCCCATTCGAAATTGGGATATAGATTCAGAACACGAGAATGAAACATTAAGGCAGTGACTTACTGTACATTCGCCACAGAACATAGAGGGGTGGACACTGGTCAGGGTCCAGTGTCAGCACATCCCACAGGATCCTGACTCGCAGGAGTGTGTTGCTGTGAAACATCCACAGAGGGAGATCCTGTAATGACAAACTCTTATTTACCGGGCCACACGACACCACCCCTCCCCACATTTACCGGACCACACGACACACCCCCCAACATTTACCGGGCCACAAGACACACACCCCCCCCCACATTTACCGGGCCACA